AGATAATCTTAAAATAATATGTAAAACAGGAAAAATGAATATGAATATAAGGAAATAATAGATATAAATAGAAAATTGAGATATTGTAAAATCTATCAAAATATATTGACTTCATATAAGAGTATATAAAGTTAAAATAATGTAAAAAAGATAAATGAGCTCATTTATTTTTTTTGCACCATTTCAACCTGTTATTGTTATTATTCTACCTACTTTATTTTACTTTAATGTTCACTCTATCTACTTTATTTAACTTTAAGTTTATTCTACCTAAATTTTTTAGTCTATACCTTCCATCTTTTAATTTTAATTTTTTATTATTCAATGTTCCTAGTTTTTCATACCTATTGTTTTTTCTTAGCCCTGGTCAAAGCCTGAACTTTGAGCCGAAACGTCGGCAAATATAAAAATAAATATAACAATTTATTTTTAATATTTTTTTTAGTGATCATTCTACTCCATACTTCTCTTCAATATCTACTCATAATTAATTTATTTTATTTTCACCATATACCTTATATATTTTGTACCTTTTGTAGCTGTAGTGAAGATCTACAAAGTGGGTCAAAACGTCGGCTTTACGAATAAAATACTATTTCAATAATATAGTATTTATATGACTGTACTCCCCCTCTCTCCCCGACCAACTCCTTCTCATATTATAATCACGGTCGACCACCTCTACACCACTATTTAATGAATTCTTTTTTTTTTCTATTTAAATCTTGATTCGCATATGTCATCAGTTCGAAAAACAATAAGACGAAGCCATTCACGAGATTTTAGGCGGATGTTAATAGTTTGATAAAAAGGGTCTTTATCGCGGACTAATTGTTTTCGAAAATTAGGAAATATACCGCCATAATTATTATAATTATTACAAATATTATAAACTTCTCCGTTCGACATTTAGAATCTCTATGGTCTTCTCTTTTTATTTAACACTTTAAAATTGAAAAAATATTCAGTGATGCAGGTATAATCACCATTTAAAAAAAACACCTTTTAAAACCTGTAAAAGACATCTCGAAATTCAATTGTTCTAGTAATGGACAGAGGATCGGTACCAGTAATAGACATACCTTCGAAAAATTCTAAAATCTTTAGGTATTTAACTATCAAGATAACGATAAAGGTATGATAACACTAGTTTTCAACTTACTTATAGCAAAACTGTCAATAGGAAGGTATGAAACACACTGATCTCAAGAATAGAACAACTATATAGAACAAACTATAGAACAACAATGATAGGCATTTTAAAATGTTATTTTGGGAACTTTGTTCATGCGGTTGTCAATAGAATAGAAAACATCGTTTTTCAATCTAGAAAAAAATAGAACGTTTCAATCAACAAGGAAACTTATTATTTATATTTAAAGTCCCACCTGTCCATCACTGGGCTCCCTGTCAATAACTAGTTCGTTCACTGTATGTATATATATATATATATATATATATATATATATATATATATATATATATATATATATAGAATGAATGATTGATATGATTTATTTTCTATTTAACATGGACAGGATGACTCTCAATGGTTTCTGGAAGAATGGCTGTGAGAAAAATTATGTATTTTAAAATTAATACAATTTCGTCCAAAACAAAGGTGGAAGCTTAAAGCTGAAAGAATTAAAGATATAAACCTACTTCATCATAAATTGTTCTTCTTTTTTTTTTTTTTTTAATTTCACAACATGGACTTCAACCAAATATTTGAAAAACGGTCTAGTTGCTGGAATTTTTTCAGAAAGAGTTTAGAAGAAAATATCTGACGGCCGTATCTCAAAACTTGAGAAAACATGAAAGAAAAATTCACGATGTAAGATCTCATAGATCATTCTATTTCGGTTCTTTTGACAGAAAATATGCTTTTGGGAGTCTCGGTATGCGAGTCAATCAATTAGGACAAAGGATTTACTTGAGTCAAATTTAAAATGCTTATGTTTCTGGTAAAATATATTTCCTCCTTATTAGAATAGGTTATTTAAAATTAAAAGAAATGAATTCATCCAGTTAATATTAACATGTACCACGAAGGGTCCTTGGGTTTAGTACTTTGTAGGGAATACTGTCGGTTGAGCAGAGAGGAGATCGAGCTGGGATTACGCTCGGCCACCATGTTTATTATTTTTACCACCTCTTTTAATTAATTATTTAATTATGAATACCCACTTAATGGAGGCTGTGTGTGCCCCAGGAGGGTCTCACGACCCCGTAGTCAATCCACGGGTGAGGAAAAATAATTAATATTAACGCCAACATAAAACCACAATATTCCAAAAAAAAAATCAAAAATATACTCCTTCATGTGATTTTGTTGTACGAATCACAATAATACGACATTAGTTTTTTATAATGCTTTTATCCCTCAATTTTTCATTGTTCCTAAACAACCTACAGCTGGCTAGTTTTTGGTTATTGCGTATGGTTCTTATATACTGGAAATCAACAAAAAAAGGTATTTTCAGATAGATCACATAATATATTTTAGGTCACAGATAACAGAGAGGAGAAAGAAATTCGTTTTTCTGTTCACTGAAATAGCAGATAAACTAAGAATGATCAATTAGCATGAAAATATGCAATTTAATACCCTGCAAACATAACAAAACCCTGCGTTGTTATTATTATTAAAAGAACAGTATATAATATAAAGGTTGTTTTTTTTTTGGACACTCAACAGCTACGATTGTACTTCAAATTAATATGTTAGAGAGACTTTGGTTTTAAAAAACAAAACAAAAAAATACCCATTATTTTCTTCACCGGTTTTCTTTTTCTATAAATTTTATTTAAATGTATATATATATATATATATATATATATATATATATATTTTTTTTTTTTTTTTTTTTAAATAAAATATATTATTATTTCTAAGTCGGTACTGTCATCTTCCAAGACCATTTTCAAGTTCTCGACTGCATATAAATAATGTTTACGTTTTAACTTTATTTATTTTATACTAGTTTAATTGTGAGTTGATTTGTGAAATGATATTTTAACTAAAAATTTTTCATGGCTGCAACTAATTTATCAATAAAAGGACCAATAATTCCCTCCTAGTGGTTTATATTGTTTTGTTTTTTTAAATCGTGACCGTAACAATAACATTAACTGTTTTGCAAAAAAAAAAATAAATAAATAAACATTTGTTTAAGACATGTATATGAAGAAGTTGCAGATTGTTAGGTGATGACATGTATCGTACAGAGCTGGGGTCTTTCGAGAACAATGAAAAATTGATGTTTACTGCTTCACAGTTAAATAAGTGTAAACATAAAAATGTCGAGAACGTGCGAGGTAAAATATTCGATGATTCACCCACTGAAACGTGATATAACGTGATGATATTTCAGAAATAAAAATTAATTTAAAATTAATGTTAGTATTACCTGAAAACATAAATCTGGTAATATAAATAAATATATATATATATATATATATATATATATATATATATATATGTATATATATATATATATATATATATAGATAGATAGATAGATAGATAGATAGATTTATTCATAAATCATATTATGATCAAGACTTGCATTAATATTTAATTCGATTATAGGCTCAAGGTTATAGGGTGCTTTGGTATTCATTTCCAGTACATACAAAATATTATGATATTAATATTTTAGTATTATATAATAAATTTAATATAATATAATAAAACTTCTGTTTATTTTTTAATTTATTTTAGTTATCTTTATTTTTTCTCATATTTAATAAATACTGGTGGTGTCGGCATCGAACCTTCGGGTTCGCTAAGCCTTATTATTATTATTATTAATAAATACATTTTCTTTTTTTATTTGATTTTCTGAATGTCAAAAACTTTAATTATACTTATTTCTACTATTTCATTGATCTTTTATACTCCTTGATTTCATTGATGACTATTTTATAGTTTTCATTAACAGTGCTGTGCACTGACGGATCTTTTGGGGCGAAGGGGGTTTCGGACTGATGCTCCCTCAATTGGAAAAGATATTTTCCTTTTCATTAGCCCATATTTATTTCTGTGAATGATCTGATTATAACAATGAAACAATATTGTAACGAATTTCATTAATGAGTTAGCGTACGTTTCCACCTTAACATGCAGGTTATAATCAGGGCTACAAATTCTTATAATGATGAAAAAGGTATACAATTATTCTTATAACTATTATAATTACATGGAATCATAAGAATTTCATCAACTAAGTGTATAAAGATGTCAAGAAAAATATATAAAAAAACGTTTACGTAAGATTTTTTTTTTTTTTTAAATCCGTTACAACAGTTTCTGTGAAATATTTAAGGAAAAGAAAATTTTAATTTCAAAAGTAAGGAATATTTTTGTAATAATTCCAAGCTTAAACTGGAAGTTACATTGAATAAGAAATAAACAGTAATTTGGCTTACATTACAGTTGTAATATATCTTAAATGAAGTACTACAACTAACTCGTTTGTTTGAGTAGTAAAATATAAAGATTACTTTTTAGACTTTTTGATGTAATCAACTGAATTTATAAATAACAGTTTTTAAAAATGAAATTTCTGTAAAGCCTTTACTTGAAGTAAAGTAAATAAATAAAAGAGAAAAAAAAAACAGAAAATAAAGATTTCTGTCATACCTAATAAACTAATAAAACTATAAGTTAAATTTAATGTACGTATTCACATGTATATACCCTAATGTAAACTATTTATAAACATATAAACTGTGATAACTGACAATTTAAAGAGTAATTCTTTCACTTACACAGCCTCGAAGGACCTATTAGCTAACTCATTTATTATTTCCGACTACACATAACTATTTAAAAATATTTCACATTGAGATGAAATATGTTAATAGGAGGCGGTAGCGGTGGTCTCAGCTTAGTGGAATATGTAATCAGGAGCGAAGAGCGAGGAGTGTGGGGAGAGGGAGGGAGCTGAGGGGAGGGGGCAGTGAAAGTGAGCTAGGACCGCTCAGTCTAAGCGGAGATGTCGCTGTGCTTGGTGCTGCTGTGGTGTGCCTCTTGGTGTGCCTTCGCCGGTGCCGTGTCCGTCAACAAGTGCTGTCCCGATGGCAACCAGCTCGAGGGTTCCGTCTGCGTCGCCGCCCAGCTCGAGCCTTGGGCCCCCGTCATTTACAACCCCGCCGAAAGGGGCTTCCTGCCCCCGGACACCTACCCCGAGTCCTGGGTCTTCAAGGTGTCCCTGCCCATCACCTGCCAGGAGCCCACTGCCTACTTCAAGACGGGCTCCTTGCCGCCCTTCGTCATCTTCACCAACGGCAGCCTCCTCGTCGAGGCCCCCCAGGAGCCCTTCATCCAGACCGACTCCTACTGCATCGATCCTAAAGGCGCGCTGATCTGCATCCAGCCCGATCGAGAAGGTAGGACAACTGTCCAGAAGTGTTGTGGCCATGGAGGTATTTACTCAGAGACCAAAGGCTCCTGCCGGCTCTCTCCTTACGACGACGCGAATTTCGCTCACCTTCGAGTGCTCCACAAGTTCCCCGATTGTGCCGATCCTAATGGTGGTTTCTCGATCAGTGGCAAGCTCAACGACACTTACTTTCTTCTGGAAGACGGCAGCCTCAAGGAGAGTGGAGGCCGGGTCCTCGGCAAGACGCAGTACTGCCTCGAGCACATCGAGGACTCGCCGAACGACACCGTCCATGTGTTCACCTGCCCCCCGAGGATAAAGGCTCGCCACGAAGACATCAGGTTCACGCTGTACCCGATGGGCCTGTTCCTCTCGGTATTCTTCCTGGCGGTGACCCTGATAGCGAGCTGTCTGCTGCCGAGCACCTACCACGTCCTGCACTGGCGGTGCCAGACGAACCATGTAGCATGTCTTCTGGTCGGTGACCTCCTCCTGGCCATCACGCAGCTGTCGTCGGACGCCCTCAAAGGACCTGCCTGCATCGGAATCGGTGAGTCGCTATTATATCTCTCAGACTGATCCTGAAACCTGTTTTCATATTGATTATCTTGAAATTTTCTTTATAATTCTAGAGAATTTAAGTTTGGCATCATATGTATATTTTGAGATGATTACATATAATTTCGTTGAATTATATTTAATCTTTATTAAGTTCTAAGCTGTATTCTGTACCAGTGAATCATGTTATTATGTCGTTTTAGTCATTTCTCTAAAATAAAAATAACAGACTTCACTCTTCCACTTTTAATCATTTTGATTTCCAATACGATCTATTGCATTCTCTTCGCCAAAAAGAGCCAGATATTTATAAATAAATTTACAAAAATTGTCAACTAGAAGGCTGGAATTTAAATTAAATTGTAATCGTTTAATTATAGTTAGCAATGTTGCTAAATAAACTAACAATTACACTAGCGCCATTGGGTTTGCTGACACCTAGCGGCTTATCTCTAAGCTCCCGACTTTGCTGATAAGGGCACACGCTTGGCAGATAACACGGTTGACAATTTCTATTACCATTTCACTTCACTGTTTCTAGAATACATTATCGTTGGTTGTTGATTAGTGCTTAATTACCACGTTTATGACAATAATAACATCTAATGTACATTACTTTTTTTTACATTGAAAATATTCGGTGACCTTAATGGCCCAGTTGACGTTAGTTTTTTACGATCTTAATCCTTTTACGATGATGATAAGATGTTTAATCCTTGTGCTTCTCTTTAAAAAAATATATTTTATTTTAAATCTTTTACGTTAGAATACAGGAAAAAATTAACATACATCTATATAAAAATATCTTATAATTGTATTACTGTTCGAATTTCTTTATTATGATCAACTTATAATATATATCAACTTATGATTGATGATATTTCCGTATTTTTGAAGTAAGTAATGTTGAAATTTGTTCGATTAACTTTAGGGTAATCTTGATATTTATATCATCGGCATATCGTGTTTTTAACTTCTCTTGAAGGAGCACCATTAACAAAAAAAAAAATATTGATGAGATATGGAGTCTTCCGTGTCATTTTGAAAAAAAAAGTTTAAAAATAAATTTTATAAATAAAATAAAGTTTTCAGCATTTTTTTGATTTTAAATTAATTTCTTGGTCATAAAAAAAATATTAAAAAATCATAAATCAATCTTAACTAATTAAATCCTTTATTTATTAATAAATAGAATATTTAAAAGATCATTATTATGTTACTTATCCAGGAAATATCTTATCGGGATAATTATCTGGGGAAATTTAGTTTTAAAAACAAACAAGATAACATGTGTTAGCTTCCCGCCTTTTTTATTTAAAATGATTATACCCTGACATCTAACTGCGTTTCAGGTAGTAGTTTGCTTCTAGGGTTAGTTTAAAAAAAAAAGCAAAGAGGCATAAAAAAAAAAACATTTTCGGCTAGGTAATGAATTAGGGCCTGGTAGACAGTTTTTTTTTAAGTTTTTTTTTTTTTTACATTCCATTCTGTTAGGTTGTTACTATATCACTATTTCTAAAGAACGAAGTTATAGAAACAAGCAAAACATCTACAAATTAGACATCTACAAATAATTAAATTCTACAACTTACTCTCTGACTTGAGAGTTTTGAATAATTTATTAATTTAACTTTGAATTTTTCTTTTAGAAAACAATTTTTTTTATTATTGTTAAATACGGGATTTGATGGAATACTGACAACTTTTATCAAAATAATGATATCTTTGCATTCCTTAGTTTAATTCCAAGGGGATTTTCCTAGCTACAAGTTTGTTATGAATATTTAAATAATATTTGAATATTAGGCAATAAATATTTAAAATAAGAATACCCACTGTTAATACTTCAAAAAATGTCATAATGTTGTCGATAAACATGAAATAAGTTTTGCATACAATAAAGACATAGTAATACAGTAAATATTTTGTTTAAAAATATTTTTTTTTTATAAAATCACGATAACCACGCGATCTTTTTATCGGTAAGTAAATTTACTCCTACGAATTAATTCCTTTTTTTTATATTTATTCTTATTCTGTTACTAGAATATAGTTCAAGTTTACTTCGAAAAACTGAACCCGATCTTCTTATGTGACAAAAGTAAAAATCTGATATATTTACAAAATTTTACTAGAATCTAATGAATATAATAGAAAGCATATAATTTCTATTAATTCATATTTTTCAAAGGCTAGTAAATTTTGAGTTATAGGCTCCGAATTTTCGGTAGTTGCTATTTTAATATTTTTTTTTATGCTTGCATTATTTATCGAAAAATTTTATTTTTTCAATATGGTGCATAATTATATCGAAATTCTGTGAAAGGTTTATACGAATAAAATATGAACTAATTTTGTTTTAAAAATTATATTTTGTCTTTTATGACCATTCTTTTAGACTGTTTCTGCAGAAATATGGTTTTCTAAAAAAAAAATTGTATTATTATTTTTTTTTTTAAATCATGTTCAAAACTGACTTGATAAAGCATCTTAGAACTTAAGTAAGCACTTATCCATTACACATTCACAAAAGACGTCGCAACATTTTACCTGTCGTTAGAAGTTGACCCGACCCAGAAAACACCTGCTGCCCAACGCACTACGATCTGGGTCAAGTGAGTCACCTTTCGTTGGGCCCAGCCAAATACCTCAGTAACAGCAGGGTATATTTAAATTTATTTCTTGACTCAAAATATTGCATTTTAATCTCTCTATCTTCTGGCTAGTTCGACAACATAAATTGTATCAAAAATTTATTTTTATAAAATCTAATTTATATATTACCTAACAGCAAATCTGCTAATTGTCATTACCATGGCAGGTGCGGATGAAGAATTGAAGAAAAAAAAATGTATATATATTTAATAATAAAATCATGTTGGCGTAAACTAAATTTAAAAATATATTTCTAATAAAAACTTTCTTATGCTAAAAGTAAGTTTAAGAGAATATCTTATTTTTATCAGTTATCTAAAACTTATTTCACAATAGTTTTAATAAGGGATCACGTAGTGATTTAAAAAGCTTTTAAAAATTCAGCCTTCAAAACTTAATATTTTTTTAAAAAAGAAATCCCTTGGTTTCATAAAAAAAAATTTAATATCCTTATATCAAAGGGAATTCGATTGATTTCTTAACAAAATAATGTTTAAATTTTCCAAGAAAAAAAATATCTGTGACACCTCTGCATAATGTTTTAAATGCAAAAATCATATTTATATAAAAATTCTATTGAAAGTTTGGAATTTTCACATATGTAAGTTCAATTTTCGAGTTTCAACCCATGATTCACAAAGGAATATTCATCACTGCAATAGCCGTATAACTTAGCCCATTAAACAGAAAGAAAAAGAGACATAAGTTAGCTTTTTTATTTTAGGTTAGAATTTCTAGCTAAAATTTTTAGTACATATGTAAAATGTTTGAATTTTTAATATTTTATACGTACATTTTTTCACACAACGCTATAATATTTTTTAAAAATCTTACAATGCTGTCAAATCATTTTTACAGTTTTTGGATGAACAATTACTAAAAATTTTAGTTGTATACGAATTTTGCAATGCAATCTAATTTAATTTTTTTTAAAAAGTGCACTTAACTAGATATGATTAAATTCGAGTTATTGCTGCATCTACTTCATTTTTTTTTTTTTAACATACGTCATTATTTCTTGCATTAAATATCGCAGAATGGAAAAATAAAATGTTTGAAAAATCCGATGGTTCGATGCCGATACCTCCTATCTCTTTCTACAAACTTCCAACCACTGACCGTCATCCAGCAACGCAATCCTCAAACTTACGACTCAGTTTGCTCCTGTAACTCTCGAACGTTTGCCAGTAATCTCAGGGCTTATTAATCTCACAGGGATCGAAACGCTGATCTAGAAATCTTAACATTGTATATTCAGGAATATATTTTATATTTCACATAGGAATATAATAAATTGTTCAGCATTTCATCCTCTCCACAATGAGCTATTATTCAAAATCGCATCTTAACATGACGCCGTATTAGGTAGACAAAATGGAGAGAAATGGTGTCGAAATCCAAATGATTAGGAGTTTTATGGAAGATACGGATTAAAATATCTCAGAAACTAAAAAATCGTACCTGCATACTGTAAGCCAGGGAAATTGTCAGTATTTCATCCTTTTTATTATGAACTATTATTTATAATTTATATTTTATATTATCAATCTCGCCTTGTTGACTTTTTCACTACTATCGTGTAGTCTAAAGCGCACACCTTAGTTTTTTTCTGTTTTACTTATTTTTAATTGGATTTTCTTTACTCAGGTTTTTTTCTACTCTCTGGGGAAGAAAATACTAACAATCTCATATTCAACCAATTTCTAGTCTACCTTTATAATATTTAAATTTTATCTTTCGAAGAACTAGGGATGTTTCACACTGTCTAATGAAGTAGCATTCGTTGGTTACTCCTTTTTTTTTTTTTTTTGTGAACATTGTTTTGAACTATCTATCTTTTATCTTATCTGTCTTTCTTTCTTTATCTCTTATCTATTTCTTATCTTATCTTTTTATTGTATCTTGTATACAATACGGTAGTATTACAGTGCAGATCTCATTTCGGTTGTCAAAAGCAATGAATTTTGATGAAAAAGGTATCAAACGAAAGGACATTTCGTGTAGAAGTGACGAATCATCTCACTCCCACTCGAAATTACGAATAAATAAAAGTGTACATTTCTTTTCTGGATTAGATTTCATTAATTATTAGCTGAGATACAGCCTCATGTACACATGCTTTATTTTAATATTGTTAATGAACTCATAACTCAACACATTATCTTACTTCTATATTATATTGTTAATTTTTCACTGACCAATATACTATACGAATTATTCTCACGTGCCAAATATGTAGTTATTATGTTTATTGTAATACAAAGTACCTCCCTCGTTTGGGACTTTTTATTCCTTATAAAATCCTTAAGGTTCTCATCCGTAACTTCTTTTCTTACC